TCTGCACAGCAGACATATGTGCAGATCATTGCACTGCACAACAGACATATGTGCAGAACATTGCACTGCACAACAGACATATGTGCAGAAGCACACACGTGCTCTGTGCAGTAACACACATATGCTCTGCAAAGCAGACACATGTGCTCTGTGCAGTAGCACACATGTGCTCTGCACAGAGACATTTGAGATCATAATGTTATACGCAAGTGGTAGGTAAAGAGTTCATCAAGATTAAGATATCAAGTTAGCTTCAACTGATCAAGATTTAGGTGGTGAGTATCACCGAACGCTATTACAATAACATATCAAAATAACCTCCCCAGCCAACACTGGCCCCAACTCACGAGCGGCTCGCGAGGATAAAAGTGCTCTGCCATGAAGGCGACGACGCTCTCAACGTCGCTGGGGCGCAGGTCGGAGTAAACCAACTCTGCTCCGAAACTGTCTTCCGTTGTTAATGTTTTCATTTCTGTTGTTACTTCCGTTATTGTTCCCGTTCTCTTACTTACAGATATTGCGGGCGCTGTTGTTTGTGTAGCTGCAGTCAACAGTTCTGCTGATGCTGCCGTTGTCACGGGTAGGAGGCATTGATCTGCGTCCTTGCCGCCCATGGAATGCATTGATTCTTCCTCTTTACTGATCGCTCACAGCAACAAGACTGCGTCAACGCCAACAACGCGTGATTGTGAATAAAATTGTGGAGTCGTACGTAGAAACTGTACAACCTTATCCGTATTTATTACCGTTTTTTATCTTAGAATATTAAGAACATTTGTTCAGATGAAATCCGGCAGGTTTTCTATTCATTGTAATAATATAAAATAATTATATCTGAATCAATAAATATTTTATTATGATGTCTTTCTGATGTCTGGCGTGAAATAAATTGTAATAAAGAGCACGGATTAAAAACTCATTTACTGCCTTCAAATTAAGAATGCAACTGTTAAGGAAGATATTAAATTCTGTACCCAAAATTTTTTCGAAATGAACGAGAGTCTGGAGTCATCACGAAAATATTTCTTGCCTATAATGGAGAAAAATTCTAACGCCGTGTGTTTGTCCCATGCTCTTTCTGTGACAACCGTCTCTAGTTCGTGATAATCCAAATAAATCGTCAGAGTACAGTGATCCGGTCAATTTCCTAGCACTCTAAGGAGCACTTTATGCAGGAGAGAGAAACACAAGGTAACCCTTAGAGCAAATCTACATTAGAGTACGAGTAGGCTCGATGATTAGACAGTGACGGATGCCAGTGGATAACGACTATGATAGTAACGGATAACAGTGAATAACGCCTATGTGACGACAGTGGAAAACGACTATGACAGTAACGGATAACAGTGAATAACGCCTATGTGACGACAGTGGAAAACGACTATGACAGTGACGGATACCAGTGGATAATTACTATGTGACGACAGTGGATAACGACTATGACAGTGATGGATACAAGTGGATAACGACTATGTGACGACAGTGGATAACGACAATGTGTTGGAGGTACGGTCTGCATGAGAGTCTTGTGAGTAGACCAACACGACTGGCGGGCGGTCCCTGATCTATGCTTGTATAGGGTATTAAAGAATTTGTTGACAAAATAGCGGGGTCCCGACATTGCGGTAGCAACTGTACTGTAGACAGGAGCATACTAGGAACTAGTTATGTATGTATGACTCTAAGCTCCCATCCTCGTCGGACGTTTCCCTGTGAACTAAATCTTGTGTGTACATATTGATTGCTGCTATATTAATAATGTACTTTATGGCAGCGCGTGATTTGTTACCGATAAATTTGTTACAGCTGACGTAGAGATCCAACGGAATGCATTACTGATGGTCACTACTGTTATGCCACTGAAGGCGACGATAAGTGATAAGCTAGCGTGGTGACGTATGATCAACTGAGCAACATCATCCTATTTTACTTCGTCGTTCAGGCCAAAGCTCTACGAGCGTTCGGCGCCGAGTTCTGTCGCCATTCTTGCAAAGGATTTCAATTATGAGACCGGCGGCCGCTGGGTTCTGTTCCCATTCCTGCTAAGGATTCCAATTATGAGACCGGCGGCCGAAGACGTCTGTCATCGCCGCATTCTTTGCTAACTCTTCAATATATTGGCGAGGCGAGGTCGGCAGCTTCCTGGTACGTGCCAGACGCTGGAAATGGTCTTTACTGGCACGTGCTGGACGCTGTAAATTGTCTTCACTGGCACGTGGCAGGCAATGGACTTGGTCTATCTTCTGGCACGTGCCGGAAGCTGTAAATGGCCTTTACTGGCACGTGCCAGACGATGGATATGGTCTTTATTGGCGCGTGCCAGACGATGGATATGGTCTATCTCCTTGCACGTGCCGGATTCTGGCAACTTCCTTTTTAAATGCCATTTGGCTACGAGACGCCAGATCAAATACAGATTAAGCATCTCAGTTAATAGGTGCTATCAAGTCTGCAGTTCATTATTGTCCGACAAATATTTCCAACTCTAAACACGAGTGTGGGTGTATCATTATGAACACTCTTGTTTTGACAGAAATGGCGGCCCAACCCAGCGGTTACAGTTCAGAGTAACAAGTTTGTAGCAGTGAGTTATACCTGCGGCAATTCTGATCAAAACCCGGCAAGGTGGCTGAATGGTCAAGATGTTGGGGAAGTGAGTTACCGGTTCGAGACCCACAACAAGCTGTGAAAATTCTGCAACGTTCAGATTCGGCAACAAGCCTAATGGCCTATAACAGTGTACGGAGACCCCGTCATTATTATCATATAAATTGATGTTTGTACCTGCTTATTCCCAGTTATTTCTCATGAGAACGAACAATCTGCACCATTTTCGGAAAACCCTTAACGATTGAATTGTCAACTAGAGGAATCATGAACAGAAGAGCCTGACGTCAACGGTTTGAATACATCGCGCCATGTTAGCCTGACGTCAACGGTTTGAATACATCGCGCCATGTTAGCCTGACGTCAACGGCTTGAATACCTCGCGCCATGTTAGCCTGACGTCAGCGGCTTCAATACCTCGCATCATGTTAGCCTGACGTCAGCGGCTTGAATACCTCGCGTCATGTTAGCCTGACGTCAGCGGCTTGAATACCTAGCGTCATGTTAGCCTGACGTCAGCGGCTTCAATACCTCGCATCATGTTAGCCTGACGTCAACGGCTTGAATACCTCGCGCCATGTTAGCCTGACGTCAACGGCTTGAATACCTCGCGCCATGTTAGCCTGACGTCAACGGCTTGAATACCTCGCGCCATGTTAGCCTGACGTCAACGGCTTGAATA